CCCACACAGCATATAAAAGTGTCTAAACAACACACTCCCCACACAGCATATAAAAGTGTCTAAACAACACATTCCCCACACAGCATATACAAGTATCTTAACAACACACTCCCCACACAGCATATACAAGTGTCTTAACAACACACTCCCTACACATCATATAAAAGTGTCTAAACAACACACTCCCTACACAGCATATACAAGTGTCTAAACAACATACTACCCACAGAGCATATAAAAGTGTCTAAACAACACACTCCCCACACAGCATATACAAGTGTCTTAACAACACCCGTCCCACACAGCATATAAAACTGTCTAAACAACACACTCCCCCCACAGCATATACAAGTGTCTTAACAACACCCGTCCCACACAGCATATAAAACTGTCTAAACAACACACTCCCCTCACAGCATATACAAGTGTCTTAACAACAAACTCCCTACACATCATATAAAAGTGTCTAAACAACACACTCCCCCCACAGCATATACAAGTGTCTAAACATCACACTCCCCACACAGCATAGAAAAGTGTCTAAACAACACACTCCCCACACAGCATATAAAAGTGTCTGAACAACACACTCCCCACACAGCATAAACAAGTGTCTTAACATTACATGCACAACATACTTCAGTGAAATCTGTCTAAATCAGAAACCACAGATATAAAAATGTCTCTGTCTGTAATAGACAAATTTGGGGATTTCTAAATGCAGAAAGAGTTTTAGGAAAAGGTTTGATTATCAGTGGAAACGACATTGGCCTAATTTCACTTTGGCATCCGGAAGAGATGAGCTGATTGTTTTTTTCAAATATAGCAAAGTAAAGTCTACCTTCATCTTGATAACGCTCATCTCTTTTGTGACTGTCCTTCGTTTGGAGGTGGTTGGGCGTTGATTGGAGTCTGGGTCAGTGTGGGACTCTGTCCTCTTCACAGCTGTAAGACAGAGATAAAACATTACATTTTGTTATTATAATTCAATACTTACAAAAAACACACCAAAAAACTACCAAATGATGGCAATTATTGACAAATTGAAATATAAAATGTCACTTACATGATACTTTTAGGAAGTCAAAGACCAGAAGCCGGGGAAGTAGCGGCAGGTCAAGCTGGCTGATCATGTTGGTTATGTGTCGCATAAACTTCCTCTGTATCAACTCATACTCTTCCTGTAAAACACAGGCAAAGTGAAAGTAGACAATTTCGAGTTCAAAGCAATGACTATGTATATTCATTTTTGTGTATGTGCACATTTATATGTCTTAAAGGATTGCACTATAAAAATAGCAAAATTCATGACAAAATTAATTAGAAAATGTTTGTAAAGATATGAATGATATCCAACTAATTTATAACATGCCATCAGTCTAAAGGTTTGGTAAATATTCATAAAAAAATGGTGACCTTGGCCTTGACCTTGTAACTCTGAATTACAAACTCATTTGAGGTATTCTTTTGAAAAGTAATAAAGCCCAGATGACACTGAATCAGAATCTCAGATGTGACAGGATGGACATGGATAACGATATATAACCCCCTTCACATAAAATGGTAGGACATAAAAAAACACAAGAAATAAAGCAGATATTAATTTATTTGAAAGATGACATATGATTGAGGTAAAAGTTACTGGTATCTTAAACACATCATCACAATATATATATATAAGACAGACATTAATATATATATATATATATATATATATAAAGAATAAAAACATAAATCTTTCAGATCGACCACTAGGCCTTTCTGTCTTCTAGGACTTCATCAGGCTGACTGATGTTTATTTAACACTGTTGGTTACATGACGTCGTCAACATTTGTATAGTCAACAATTTTAGTGACGTCATCAATAAACAAGCATAGTGATGTCACAAACAATACCAGGACAAAGAAAACATCTACATACATGTACAATACATTGCAAAACTCATTATGCATTAATTCAAGCTGGGTTTGAGGACTTTTATAAACATATTTTCTTTAATTTCTCTTGCAACTACATCGTCGCTATTCAGTTTGTAAATAGGTAACACATGAAAATCATCTTTAGAACATTGATGTATATGTTTGCTAACTTTTAAAAATTTAAGTCCTTCATTTGTTGTCTATGTACATTCATTTGTATGACAACATTTGTGGTATTCATATCAAATTTGGATGTACATAGTAAACGTTTCAAGTTTTTAGGTTGTCTTTTACAGTTTATAATCTTCTTCTTATCAAAAATACACTTCATGTTCTCACTTTTTTTTCATAAAATTTACAAAATGTTTAACAACAGGAAACATATTACAATTATTCGAATTGTAAATAGTAACAAATGGTATGATATCAGCATCTTTGCTGTTAGCTCTTTCTAAATTAACACTGACCGGGCCTTTCTCTTTAGCTCTTTGTATGCCGTTTAGTACCACTTCAGCAGGATAACTTTTGCTTTTAAAATAAAGTTTCAAATCGTCCAATCTATCTTCTAATATTTTTTTACCCCAACAACCGTGACTAATTTCGATGCTAAACCATATGGAATGTTAAGCTTAGTGTGTTTAGCATGATTTGAAAAGAAATCCAAATAATTGTGAGAATCTGTAGGTTTACAATATATATCGCTAACAATATTTTGTCCTTTAATTTCTACAAAAACATCCAAGAAAGGTATTCCTTTTTCACTTAACTTCATTGTGTAATTAAAATCGGGATGCAAGGCATTTAGCATATTGAAAAATTCCAGAAGATTCTCACCTGGAGGCCAAATAATAAAGCAATCATCTAGAAATCTCAAAATGTTGTCTTTAAAATAATTTGCAAAAGTAACACTAAATGTATTTTTAACATTTATATATATATATCTATAGAAAGACATCAACAATTGAACCTCTTGGCCTACCTTGTAAGATAGATGACTCTCCTCAGACCTCCTGTTTTTCTTTTTCTTAGGGTCTTTCTTACTGATAGCATGATCAGTCTTCAGGTCGCTGGCTTTAGGGATTGACTCCTTAACATAGTGAAGAAGGGTGTCCCATGCTTCTGGGTTTTCTTTTTGCATGTACACCTTGTTGACTCCTGTGGAGGATCGACGCATCAGCAGACCAATCTGTGAAAAAAAGGCACATCTATTTGTCAAAGACATCAGATCAATATTGTCAATGTAATCAGATCAATAATGTCAGTCATCAGATCAATATTGTCAAATTAATCAAATCAATATTGTCAGTCATTAGATCAATATTGTCAAAGTCATCAGATCAATGATGTCAGTCATTAGATCAATATTGTCAAAGTCATCAGATCAATGATGTCTAACTCATCAGATCAATAGTGTCAAAGTCATCAGATCAATAATGTCAGAGGTATCAGATCAATGATGTCAGATTCATCAGATCAATGATGTCAGATTCATCAGATCAATAATGTCAGTCATCAGATCAATATTGTCAGAGGTATCAGATCAATGATGTCAAAGTAATCAGATCAATATTGTCAGAGGTATCAGATCAATGATGTCAGATTCATCAGATCAATATTGTCAAAGGTATCAGATCAATGACGTCAGATTCATCAGATCAATGATGTCAGTCATCAGATCAATATTGTCAAAGTCATCAGATCAATGATGCCAAAGTAATCAGATCAATATTGTTAAAGTCATCAGATCAATGATGTCAGTCATTAGATCAATATTGTCAAAGTCATCAGATCAATGATGTCAAAGTCATCAGATCAATGATGTCAGTCATCAGATCAATATTGTCAAAATCATCAGATCAATGATGTCAAAGTAATCAGATCAATATTGTCATAGGTATCAGATCAATAATGTCAGATTTATCAGATCAATGATGTCAGATTCATCAGATCAATGATGTCAGTCATTAGATCAATATTGTCAGATTCATCAGATCAATGATGTCAAAGTCATCAGATCAATATTGTCAGTCATCAGATCAATATAGTCAAAGTAATCAGATCAATGATGTCAAAGTCAGCAGATCAATGATGTCAAAGTCAGCAGATCAATATTGTC